AAGTGATTGATGTTTATTAAGTTTGATTGACATTTGTAAATTGATAGTTTAAAACTTCAAATTTAAAAAAATTGAAGTTTTAAAAAACTTCAAGTTTTTTTTGCAAACTTCAATTTTTATTTAAAATTAATTTGAAGGAAAAATTGAAGTTTTTTTAAAACTTCAAATTTTTTAATAGTAAAAAAATTTAGACTTAGATTTTTTTTTAAGTTGGGTTCAAAGTTTGATTTTTTTCTAATAATTTGATTGGTTGCTTTTTTTAATCTTAAGATATAAATTCGGAGATCTGACTGAGTAACGACAGATTGGTCAGCCATGGCTGAGAAGGATAACTTCCAAAAGTTCGTGGATATGCGGGATGGATTGGAGGCGATGTTTCACGAAACCTACTCAGAGGAAGCAGATGTGGAAGATGTGCAAAAGTTTATGCAAGGATGGAAAAAAAGATTGGAGGGTATGTTTGACCCGAAACCTGAATCTTTTATGTCTAACGATGAAAAAACTTTATTTCGTTATTCGCAGTTATGTTTAGAAATGGCGATTGTGAAAAACAGACCGATAGTTGAAGAGGTTCCAGACATTTATGAATCGTATACTATTGATTATTTTAAACGTTGGTTTTTTCCAGTAATGGAAAAAATTGCAATTAGTGAATATAGTAACTTCACATATAATTCGATGGGTTGGCGGAGCCGATATTATCATCTTTTATTATCGATGGTTAAAGAAAGTGCGGAACTAAATTTAGACGATGAATATATTGACGAACGTTTAAACATTGAAAGAGTTCTGGAGGTGATAACACATAGCAGTTTTTTGTTAAAGCTACAATTACAGAAATATTTAAGAGAAATCGAAGTTATGTGTTTGACCTCGTTACCAAGCGAAAAATTGAGTTTGGAGGAAGAAGTTTTAGATATTGGTGGCTCAGATGATGATAAACGACGTCATATTCTCCTTGAATCGTTATATGATATACCGTTATTGGATAATTCTGCGAAAGAATCTGAAAAAAAAATAATCTGCATTGCGAATAAAGAGTATTTGTATGAGAATGGGTTCTTCCCAACTACACGAAGCATTACAGATAGCGAACTTTCAAAAAACATACCAAATTTTTTGTCAGTAGAAACTTGTACGCAGTATATAGTTACTTGGGCGAATACAAGAAGTTTACGGGAGAAAGTTAATGACGAAATAGATAGCTTTTTGGAAGCTAGAAAAAGTCTATTGGAGGAAAATTCGGATGAAAATATGTTGTTGAAGGACAAAATTTTTTATAACATATATCGTGCAAGTAATTTACCGAAGTCTGACGCTATAGAGATTATCGAAAAAGAATTTTATACACTCGCCACAAGGAATCGTGATTTGAATGCGGACGAACTTTTGGGGGAGTTATTTGATTATTGTAAATCGAAGAATCTCTTTGAAGAAGGTGAACTTATGAAGAGACATTATGATATAAATATAAAAAAGATGTTTTTTGAATTTATTTTTGAAAATCAGAAGACAATTTCAGAAAAAATGAACAAACTTTGTTCGTCTTTCGATCTATTCGGTATGCAAGTTGAAGATTTACTTTGCGAGGTTGGTAACGCTGTCAAGGATTATTTGCCTGTAGTATCTGCGTCAACAGAGGAACTGTGGAAGGAAAGTTCTATTCTTGAAAATGCATGCACCAGTATCGACGTTGAAAACGAACTTGGTGTTTCAGAAAAGACTGACGGGTTTTCAAGTCCTATTTCGTGTGATTTACGATACAAATTAGATCCGTGTATCGATAGTACTTTTTATTCGTATAATTGGTACAAGGTTAACTCTGATCAGTATATGTTGTGGAAAAGAGGGCAGTTGTTAACTACAGATAGAGAAGAAAGGGCTAATAGAGTTCTTTTTTCTCTTTTTTTATTGGAAGATATAAAAAATACGGAACTTTTTGCAAAAGATTTGCCTGACCCTCCTCTAAGGGATGATGATAACGATTCGATTGTTTCGACATTGAACGAATTGGAAGAAGAATTTAGTGAAAGTGTAGTTTTAAAAAATGACTAGAATTTCGATGTTCTTGATTGCTTTAAACACTTAACTATTTGCGAAAATGAAAGATCTATGGAAGAAGAAGTGGCATTATTTAGGCAAACTGAATTTAAAATAGCGAAGAAATCAGCTGAAGTATTACAACATCATATGTCACACGGTCATACTAGTTATTTTAATTCGGAAATGTCAAAAGAGATTTATGACGAATCGTCTATGCCAACGAGGATAGATCATAGATTTGATAAACAACTAAATCAAGAACAATGTTTTACACCGAAAAGAGAAGTAGTACGAGCACCTTTGCCTGGTGATAGAAATGCAGTCAAAATAAATGTTGATGAAAGTTTGTTTGGTAGAGATACGCGTGCAGCTTGTTTTGGACAAACGTTCGATCAACCTTGTTGTAGTAGAGAACGTCGTACTGATTCTTTATGTCGTTATATGATGAAAGAGCAATTTGAGGACTCGATACCGAACGCTTTTGGTGAATGTATTATGAAAAGAAAAGTTATGGCGGAATGTGAAAAGGATATTTATGCTACAAAACGTATCGAATTGCGATTATCGTTGATGCCTTATGTAAGCTATTCAAATTTTGAAGGAGCTACACTTACCCAGCCGGTTACTAATTTTTCGCAAGTTTTGGATCACATCCGTTTGAGTTTAACAGAATTAGATCCCTGTCGTGGTGGTAATTGCGACAACTATGAAGAAGGAGGAAAAACGATTTTACAGGAAGCTTTGGAAGAGGCAGATAAGGACTTGTATTCTCGTTCTATTTTACCGTCCACGTTAATGAGGGATATGGATAAAAATTTTAAGAAAACTAAGTTTCGGTACAGATGTCGAGAACATCATCACATTGAGCTAGTGCCTTCTGAAAATGTACAAACGAGGATTGATGAGGTTGAAACGTGTCCGATTTGTTTTAAGGACATTTCGTCTGAAGAAGCTAAAGAAAAGATTTTTTTGTTGAATTGCGGACACGTTTTGTGTACATATTGTTT